CATCAATGTACAAAGAGAGAATTTGAATTTAGAGAGGTAACTGGTATAAGATTTAAACTCAGGCATCTATTACTGTAAGGCATGCTCTTTTTGCTGAGCAACCTAGAGAGTTCTTGAAGATCATCTAGTCCAGCTTCTTCATCTTGTGTCTAAATAAGTATGTTATGCATGTGGTTATTATTGTTCAAAAAGGGTTTCATCTATCAGAGATCATGCTGAGCATTTTATATGCATTATCTGATCAAGTGCACCCTAACCTTTTCAGGGAGATTAAGAATCTTCCTTAAAAGTCATTGATCAAAGAAATGGTACAGTTTGGATGTCAGATAAAGGAATGTTTGATTCCGGAGTCCATTGCTCTACTACCTCTTCTCTTTTTTGTTGTTGTCTTACCTGGAGAAACTAAAATTGATAGAAGTGAACTGAAAGTCCTAAGTCCTAAGCTCTCTGGGGGCAAAAGAGTCTAGACTCCTGTCTGCCAGCTGTTTGCTGCTCCCACTGTTCCACAGTTGGAATCATCTGATCAGAATTGGAATAAAGTGAAAGCCCAAGTAGAGTGGCCTGGAGCATTAGTGGCTCCTGATTCTGCCACACCTCAGAGCTCAGCTGGCTGCATTGTTGTGAAATGCTAGGGAGTGTGCTCCTCAGAGAAATCAGGTATCCAAGTGTCTGTGACTTAATAGCTATTAAAAAAACCACACATCCACACAGTATTTCCCCTTTTATATCTGTGAATATTTAATATAATAAATCAGAAAAGAGGCTTCTGATAGTTCACCTTATAAATTGTTTTAAGCTCTAGATATAATTATTCATTGTATGAGATTATTTTAAAAATTTCTGTATCATGAAGAGGAACATGTCAAGATGTGGTGAAAATAGTTACTTTCTTAGAAATGCAGGAAGCGTCGTGAAGTTTAAGCAAGTTTCCAGTGCAATGTGTATAATAAATCACCTGTTTCAAAATCGTGAGCCACAGAATGGAAACTGTAGTGCTAACCAAAGGATCAAGTACTGAAATAAAAATAATCTGCCTTTGAACAGTCACATGGCTTCCATAAATCAAAGCCATATTCTGGAAGAAATTGGTTGCTATCTTTAATAAATGACCAATGACGGCTGTTGACCTTTGACAGGTGGACCTAGTATCATTTGGGCTCATCTTCTCTGGTTCCTTTAGCATTTACTGAGTGCCTACAGAGCACATGGCAGGTGGTGGATAGCCTGTTGGAAGAAGGAGAACCATGAAAGACACACCAGAAGACCCTGTTCCTGCCATTGCAGAGACTAATAGTTCTGCCAAGCGGAGAATCCTAAACTCATACACCTCCTTTTTTTCTTTTATATTCTCCCTTACACCCAGCCAGAGCCATGTTTTAATTCTACAATAATGATGAGAAACAGGCATTCCGTTGTGCCTGATAAAGAATAAAGAGGTGTACCTTTGCCTGTCACATGTATCTAGAATGTGGCTTGTCTTCCCATGGAGCATTCAAGTTCTAAAACTTTTATGTAAATTTCAAGAAAAAAAAAAAGATAAAGACTTGAAACACCCACCATCAAGGGGTGAAAAATTGTATGTCTAAGAAAATTATAGCTTGGCACACCTTTAATCCTTGCCAAGGATTAGGTTAGTTGGGCAGGTATGTATGCCAAAGAGTTCTTGTGCCACATTTATGTTCATATCATTTAACCCTCCTGAACCTCAGTCTCTAAACACTGGAGAAATCAAGACAAATCCTATTTTGGGGGCATCTTGGTTCTGTTAGCATTGCTTGACATTCTGATTCTGTTCCTATGAGGAAGAATGAGCTGGATTGTCTGTAAATACTGAGATGACACCTTTAGTCATGCTTTGGAACTCACGTTCATGTCAGTAGGGTGTCTAAAAAGAGACTCCTGCCAGACTTCAAACCTAGACTTTTCCATCAATGAGGGCTCTCTGGATTATTTCAGAGTGATGTTACTTGCCATAGGACAAGTCAGTTTCACTGACTTTTTTACTCCCTCCCATCCTAACTCTGGTTGGTTATCTAGTGCTACCCTAGTGCTATTCGAATGCATTGTCATCTGTTTTCTGAATCAAACTCTAAAAGAGGAGGGTTTGCTATTGCTAATATCACTCTAAGGAGAATGTTGCTGGCTCTGAAGCAGTATAAAAACATTTTGAGTAATAACTGTAGCAAGGGTCTCCTAGGATAGCTTTTAAGTGGGGATGGAACTTAGTGTGCTTAAGTTCTATAAGTTGATTTTCAACACCCAATTTCTTCATAATCATTTCCTGTGTATTATAGTTTCTCTAAAGATGATAAGTGAATGAAAAGTTGTTGGAAGACTTTGGAAACAGTGGAAAGAGGTGGTCTGGTGAGGCTGACAGCAGGATAGGCTAACTAGGGAGTTGGGGACCTAGAAAATGAATGAGGGTCACTCAGATTTTCCAGAAATCCACTTTACTCCAGTCTGGGGATATTTAGATTAAGAGCATGTTTATGTAACATAAATTAACTTCTGGAAGCAGGTAATTTATTGTTTAATTGAAGAGGGACCTATTCCCATAATAGTTTCCTTTCACACACAAATTTACAGATATCACATAATTTTTCTCCGTTGTGTAAATTAGTCTAACGTTGGCTATATTGTGCCTTTTAAAGCTGCATAACTTTGTTCATTTGAAAAATGTTTTGTTTGATAAATTTTAGTTTTCAGATTTATAGCTTTTTGTGTGAATGAATGGTCCTTGTCATCTTTTTACATTTAAACACCATTCCTTGGTAAAATATTATTGTAAGTTTACAGATAGACCTTTCCTACAAATACACATGTGCTATTCTAACTGATGTTTAAACAATGAAAAATAAACAGGTCAGTTTGTCATCATTGAAAGCTTTGGTCCTCAGTGACATGATTAAGAAAGTTAGGGCCATTTTGTAAATTTCTGGTGCTTGATGAGGTGTTTCTTTGTTCTTGTTATGTTAAAGGAAAATGGCAGATTATTTTCCATAGATATACCTACAAGGAGATATGACCACACAAATTTAGCTATTCATATCCCTACACACTTGTTTCCTTGAGAGATAAAGTTAATTGAAGCGTGTATATAAATTTAGATTGGACAGTGATTATATAACATTTTTTTGAAATTGGTGTTATAGATATTTCAGGATGGAGTATAAATCATTTTTTAAAATCTCCTTTGCTATCCACTTCATTTCAAAAGCTTTTCTGAAATAGTTGGGTAGGGAAAGGGAACATGGGAGGAATAGACGAACTCTAGATAGGGCAGAGGGGTGGAAGGGCAAGGGTGGGAGCATAGGATTAGAAATGATGGTGGAATGTGATGGTCATTATTATCCCAAAGTACATGTATGAAGACACGAATTGGTATGAATATACTTTGTATACAAACAGAAAGAAAAAATTATTGTTTTGCTAAAAGGAGAGACAGGAATAAACACATTTGCAGTGTTGCATGTAAAATGTTGGTAAAGAAGTAACTGCAGGACATTGGAGATTGCCCCTCCTTTTTAATGTTTTTTACTAGTGCATTATAGTTATATGTAATAGTGGCTTTCATTTTGACATATCCATTAGTGCATATAATACAGTTTGCTCCATTAAAAAAAAAAGTAAAACTACTTTTTTTTAAATGGAGCAAACTGTATTTTTTTTTATTGTTGGTTGTTCAAAACATTACATAGTTCTTGATATATCATCTTTCACACTTTGCTTCAAGTGGGTTATGAACTCCCATTTTTAGCCCATAGACAGATTGCAGAATCACATCAATTACACATCCATTGATTTACATATTGCCATACTAGTGACTGTCCTGTTCTGCTACCTTTCCTATCCTCTACTATCCCCCCTCCCCTCCCCTCCCCACCCCTCTTCTCTCTCTACCCCCTCTACTGACCTTCATTTCTCCCCCTTGTATTATTTTTCCCTTTCCCCTCATTTCCTCTTGTATGTTCTTTTGTATAACCCTGAGGGTCTCCTTCCATTTCCATGCAATTTCCCTTTTCTCTCCCTTTCCCTCCCACCTCTCATCTCTGTTTAATGTTAATCTTCTTCTCATGCTCTTCGTCCCTACTCTGTTCTTAGTTACTCTCCTTATATCAAAGAAGACATTTGGCATTTGTTTTTTAGGGATTGGCTAGCTTCACTTAGCATAATCTGCTCTAATGCCATCCATTTCCCTACAAATTCTATGATTTTGTCATTTTTTAATGCAGAGTAATACTCCATTGTGTATAAATGCCACATTTTTTTAATCCATTCGTCTATTGAAGGGCATCTGGGTTGGTTCCACAGTCTTGCTATTGTGAATTGAGCTGCTATGAACATCCACGTAGCAGTGTCCCTGTAGCATGCTCTTTTTAGGTCTTTAGGGAATAGACCGAGAAGGGGAATAGCTGGGTCAAATGGTGGCTCCATTCCCAGCTTTCCAAGAAATCTCCATACTGCTTTCCAAATTGGCTGCACCAATTTGCAGTCCCACCAGCAATGTACAAGTGTACCCTTTTCCCCACATCCTCGCCAGCACTTGTTTAGCAAACTGTATTATAAAACTGTATTATATATTGTGTATAAAATACAGCTGCTTTAAAGTGCCTACTCTGTGCAAGGTGAAATCAGGCTAAAACATTGAAAAAAGTACCAAGTGATTTGTACCCATTTCATGGGTTTATAAAATGTCATTTATTGACAGAATCATCAATTTATTTTTAAGTAAGGATGAGAGCTACCTTTTATGCTTTATATACCAGTCATTACAGTCATTATAGTTCTTTGGAGCAATCCAGCCCTTGAACAAGAATGACTAACTGTATGAGATGAAATACATGGTAGCAGCATTTATGTCAGTAAGTCTTTCTTCATTCTTGGTCTGTTTGCTAGAGACCTAATAATAATATATTCAAGTAGCTTCATTTTCCTGCTAACATCACAAGTGGAAGAAAAATAGATTTGTTTATTTAACACCTGTATTTTCTTTCTTTCAGGGTGTGTTGGAGAGTTTCCTGGGCACTGCTGTCTCTGGAGCGGTCTTTTGTCTCTTTGCGGGTCAACCACTCACTATTTTAAGCAGCACGGGACCCGTCTTAGTTTTTGAGAGGCTTCTATTTAATTTCAGCAAGTATGTATATATACACCTAATTATAAATTACAATGGTTGGATCATAGAACATTCATAGTCCAGATAAAGCACAGAATAGCAGTTAGATAGATCCAAGAATCAGGCTGAATACTGGAATGATAAGGTTCAGAACCGGAAAGGGCCTTACAATTACATAGCCCAGCCCTTATTTTACATTTGGTTCAACTCACTCCTATCTGTTGTTTTCTGCTTTCTCCTTTCCCAGTCATTCTTACTGTCCTGCTTTGTGCCCTAGGGTCCCTCACCTATGGACTAGACCCCAGGTTCATTTGCCTTCAGGCTTCCTGCTGGGTTTGGCTATTCGGAGCATCAGCAGGACAGGAAGAGAGAGAGAGGTCCCAGTATGTCTGCTTGGCCCCACTTCTGCTTTAGCACAGCAGTCTGGCAGTGGCTTATCCCCTAAGACTTTAGCCTGTGTCAGGTGGATCCTCTGACCTGGCTGTAGCCCTTACCAGGCTCTGCTGACTCCATTCCTTCCTGGTTCTTTTCAAGCCTGCAGTTAGTCATGGCTTCCTGCTATTGCTAGTCCAGAAGCGCCTCTCCATTCTTACACCTCTGCAAATAGCATCTATGTTCAGTTTTCCTCAGACTCCCACTTGAGAATGCTGTTTTCTGTCATGATCCTAACTGATTCATTAAATAAATTAAATGACTTGTTCAAGGCCACATGGCTCCTAAATGAGAGAGTGAATGCTCTATACTTGGTCACAGCTCCTAACCCCAGTACCAGTATTCTTCATTGAAGACAGCTTTCAAAACTCAACTGAATAATAACAGACATTTGAGGCTGATCACATACTAAGTATTCTCATAAGTGTTTTACACGTACAAATTCATTTAATTCTTGTAGCAATCCTGTAAGGTAAGGACTGCATCCTGTTTATAGATGAGAAAGAAGGCACAGAGCAAGTGAGTAAATTACCAAATGTTGCATCACCAGTGCGTGGTAGGGCTGGGATTTGACTTTCTGTTTTCTGACTCCAGAGCCCATGCCTCTTAAGGAATCACTAGACACTACTAATGAACAGGACAATAATATCAGTATTTTCCCTTAGGAAATTCTCATTGTAAGAAGGGGAGCATTGAGTTAAATGAATTATATAAGTGGCCATGTTAGCAAACACATAGATTCAAAATAAAATGGAGTATTCTGGTCTCTTTCTAGTGTACTGGATACCTCTGGAGTGAATACCTTTACTGGCAGGTCTCAATCCTTAGACTGCAGAATTTCAGTGACTTGCTAGCACTCCTTGTTTCCATATTCTAGGTTGTACATTTTTAGGACTCTGAGTAGAGTCACTATCTACATAGTACTTCATGGATTTAAGGACTCAAAACTTTAAAACTGTGTGTGTCACAAAAAAATGTCCACAAGATCAAGGAGAGAATGAGTTTTTTGGAAAACTGGATTGAGAACATCAGGAAGAATCTTCTGAGAATTTAAAGTCCTAAATTTTAAAATTTGTGAGTTTTCTGTAGGACATTATTACAGATCTCTGTAGTAATTCTGAGAACATTGGAAAGAATTTTATTCATGTCAGTTTATAGAAGGAGTCAAACAGTTTTCATATGTTTAAGAAAACATTTCGTGAGACAAGAAAGCCTTTGTAGAAAGATTAAACAAGCATGTACTATAAACAGGAACAAACACGCACAACCTCTGCAGAAAGATTTATTGGATGAAATGTGATCAGAGCCTTAATCTACAGAAAATGTTTGCATCCTGGTTTGCTTTAGATAATTGTAGGATAGAGATGGTTTCCTTTCACTAAGCAAGTTCCTTTCTCACTTTCCCTTCTGTTTCATCATAATTGGTACTGTTGCATAGTTCCAAGTAATTTATTTGAAAACAGTTGTAAAGCAATGAGAAACATTTGAGAAACCATGCTTTAAATCCATCATTGAGTAATATGCTGCAAACATTTCATTCATGTGCTGTGAATGTATTCATTTGCTTGTGTTATAGCAGCAGTGCTAATATTTTGTCTAGATAAAAAGTATTTAGTAAATTGCTATTTCCCAAAATGTGTCTCATCGATTCCTAAGCCCATTAGATGACCCATGGAAAAAGGCTTTTGTGTTCCCAACAGTCTGGAAAGTGCTCTGTATTGCATCCTCCTCCTGGGATCTGAGAGGTCTTTTAGTAAAGAAACTTTTTGTTTTGTCTTACCCAGATTTTCCCCAACATATTTTATTATTTTTGGAGATACGGGTAAATTCTTATTTTATGGGTTCAGTGTAGTCATTACAGATCATCAGTTTATTTAAAAGTTTCTCATCTCTCATTTCTCTTTTCTTCTTGCTGCTCTCAGCACATGATTTTTTAATGAAGTGCCACTGGTTTTAATTATTTCATTTAGGTTGTTCTCATCGAACTACTATTGGAGTATGTTTGGCTCTTAGAGCAACTTGAGTATGTTGTTTAGGTTTACGATTGAAGTTTATCTGTGCCTTTCCCTTAGTACCCAAACTTATGGTGTTCCTAGCCATTAGCTAGTTAATAAATTTGTTTCTCACCTGTACCTGTAAACACCAGTTCTATAATAACCACTAGCATTTTTTTTTTTTTTTTTTTTATTCTTTGTGGTACTGGGGATTGATCTCAGAGAAAACTTACCACTGTATTCTGGTTACCCAGGCTGACCTCAAACTTGAGATCCTATTGCCTCAGCCTTCTGAGTTGCTTGGATTACAGGCATGTGCTACCATGCCTGGCCCTTACTCGCATTCTTACATAAATCAAGATTGCTCTAACTTTCATCTTGGTAGGAAAGCAAGGCCATTGTTTTAAACTCATTTTTATTTTGTTCTAAACTTTTAAGGAAAATGTCTCTTGGATCAGAGGTACTAAAAAGTGTTTCTTAACTCTTATCTGACACTGACTCATTGGATGATAATGTAAATTATCTCAAATTCCTACAACTCAGCTTGTTCTGTAGTATTATTCTGTAGTGTACTTATTTCACAAAGATACACATAGGATTAAACAGTAGGACTATAGCCATAAAAGGAACTGGAAGGGAATGGGAAAACCATCTTCAGAAAGTTTCAGAAAATCTATAGGAGATAATTTTCTACCTCAAGGTCAGTAACAACCTGCTTTGGCAATGTATGCTAATTCATGCAATTTGGTGAAAGGAGGGAAACGAAGATAATGTTGATGCCAAACCTGTCTTGAGCTAAGTATAAGTCATATAGGGGAACCATGGTGTAATTTTTATTTCTTTACTTAAGCAACAAAGATTTACTTCTGGCAGTTGTGGAGGCTGGAAAGTCAAAGACCAAGGTTTTGGCAGGATTTGGGTTCCGGGGCGGGAAGTCTTCTTGGCTTGTAGATGGTCGCCCTTTTCCTGTGTCCTCATAGGGAGGTAAAAGAAAGAGATCTGTAGTGTTTCTTCCCTTTGATTTTTATTTTATTATTTATTTATTTTTTTCATGGTGTAATTTTTAAAAGGAGCAGTCCAAGAATCAGGATACTTAGTTTCTGGCCCACCCCTACCATTAACACCTTAACACTGGGTAAACGACTTAGCTTCCAATTGCTTTGATACCTTCATCTATAAAATGAGGCATATTGACAAATTGGTATCTGTGTTAATAAGGACTTTCCAGAAAAACAGAACCAATAAGATGCATATACAGAAAGATATTTATTATAAGGAATTGGCTCACATGCTTTTCTAGGCTGGCAAGTTCAAAATCTTCAGGACAGGCTGGCAGGATGGAAACCCAGGAAAATCAGTGTTTCTGCTGAGTCTGAAGTGTTTGAGTCTGCTGTAGAACCAGGAAGAGCTGATGTTATAGATAAAGTTCAGAGACAGTCTACTGGAGAATTCTCTCATGCCTCTAGGGAGGCCAATCTTTTTGTGCTAGTAAGTCTTCAGCTGATTGGATGAGGCACACGGGTATTATGGAGCACCATCTGCTTTACTCAAAGCTCATCAATTTAAATGTTGATTTCTCTAAAAACACCCTCACCTAAACACTCAGTATGTTTGACTAAATATATGGGTACAAGTTGACACAAAATGAACCATCACAGTGTCTAAGGAACTGTTAATTCTAGTGTTTGATAGTGTTTAGCTAACACAGGGTCAGTCTTCTCCTACTTTAAAGTAATAGTTCATAGACAAATGTAGTCACTGTCTCAGTCAAGTCTTAAGCTACAGGCTTGCATTCATTCATCTACAAGTCTTAATTGGGTACCTCATATATGCCAGGCACTGCAAGAGATAGAGAATTTAAATTCTATTCTGAGAACAATGGGAAGCCATCAAAAGGTCTTAATCTGAGGTATCTTATTTTCATTTTAAGAGATCATTTTGGATGTGTGGAAAATGATTTTGAGTAGGATAGGCATAGGTATCAGTTCAGAGGCTCTTACAGGTAAAAGACTCACTGGAGGCCCAAACTGGGTCAGTGGTAGAGAAAGCAGAGATGATGCTTTTGGAAATATGCTAAAATACATTGTTAACAATTGTTAGAAACCTGTGGGCTCAAGAGCTTCAATCATGCATAGTTCTTGGTTCCTAGGTATGAAGTGTTCCTATCTGCTTTTATCACAGATAAATTATGAATTAAACATTATTGTAAGGTACTCTTTACATAATTTTAAGGGAATCAGTTTGAAATCATAATATGTCAGCACTTGACCCATCTTTTCATAGTTGGAAATCCTGAGCTAACTCGCTTATAAGAAATGGGGAAGATATCAAAAGAGAGTAGCCTCATTAGATAGAGGTCACCTATTCTGAGTCTGCTATGGGACAAGCATTGGCAAGAAAAAGGTGGTCACAAGATGCTTTGTACCCAATTTCAGCAAAGGACATGAAATTTGTGGGCAACTGTGTGAAAAGTGATGGTATCTGGCTATCACGTGACAAAAAACCTTTCTTGATCGGACAGCAGCTCATGTTTCTGATCCTGTCTCCTCTTATTGGTGGCATTCTGTCCACAGTGAGCATTATGCCACTTTATGCCACATCTCTTTTTAATGTTCTTTTCTCTTCCTAGTCTGACTCTTCCTAGTAAGTTTGGAAAGTTTCTACTTATTCGTAGACACCCTTTTTTTTCCCCATAAAACTTTATCCATCCACTTGTCAGAATTATTTACTCCTTTTTCCAAGACACAATCACTTCGTATTTTATAATGTAATTATTTTTATCAGTTCATCTTCCTGAGTGACTTGGAGTTACAACATGTTTATTAGCCAGTAAAACTGACATTTATCAAATATATATGAGCTTTCAATGCTTTCCTTTTAGATTGTTTGCTATGTGAGCTTCACGAATGGAGGGACCATATTTTTGAATGAGAAAATTAGTGAGTTATTCATATACAGTTTATGAGTATTTTTCCATGTGCTTTCCTGAAACTTTCAGAATCATATATGGTTGCATAATAATATCACTAAACCAAATCCTGAATCTCAAATCTTTCTAGATAAAATCAAGTAAGCTTGTACTGTAGGCATTTGGTAGTTTTGTATTTTGTGTATTTCATTGGAGAGGAGTCTAAATACCTTTCGTTCTTCTTTCCAGGGACCATAATTTTGACTATTTGGAGTTTCGCCTTTGGATCGGCCTGTGGTCAGCCTTCCTGTGTCTCATTTTGGTAGCCACTGATGCCAGCTTCTTGGTGCAGTATTTCACTCGTTTCACAGAAGAGGGCTTCTCCTCTCTGATTAGCTTCATCTTTATCTATGATGCTTTCAAGAAGATGATCAAACTAGCAGATTACTACCCCATCAACTCTGACTTCAAAGTGGGCTACAATACACACTTTTCCTGTGCCTGTGTGCCACCTGACCCAGGTGAGGACCTCTCACTCAGTGCCTGTGTTTGGTGAAAGATGTAAGCTCTGGGCTTGCAGATTTGCGATATGGTTTCATGATCCTGAGGAAAGGGTCTTATTTTATTTTCTAGGATTAAGGATCCTCCTGAGTTTAAGTCTGAGGTTTCTTTATCATGTGATTTGGTCAGTAAGTGAAAAGAGGAGCTCTGGAATGTGAACATATCTGGTTCAGAATACTTTGAAGTTCAGAATACTTTGAAATTAACTCAAATTGCAGTATTTGCAGAAATTAATTTGTACGTTATTTTTAGTTTTCCCAGGATCAAACTCAGGGGCACTTGGCCACTGAGCCACATCCACAGCCTTATTTTGTATTTTATTTAGAGACAGGATCTCACTGAGTTGCTTAGCACCTTGCTTTTGCTGAGGCTGGCTTTGAACTTGCGATCCTACTGCCTCAACCTCCCAAGCCTTTGGGATCATAGCCCAGCTATTCTTAGTTTTAAGTGCTAACTGAGGAGACCTAGGTGTGTGTGTGTGTGTGTGTGTGTGTATATATATATATATATATATATATATATATATATATATATATATATATATATATTAATAGGTATAAAGTCCTAATTTTCTGAACTTTTGTCCATATTTTATAGATTGCTATGGGATCTCTTCTTTTAAGAAATGCATCATAAATTTTATAGAAGAATCAAAGATGATACTAATTCACTTTATCTAATTTGAAGCATGAAATTAGAAAAGAAATTCACATTAGAGCCAGTTAATGATAAAAGTGGAAACTTGCAGTTCATCTCTAGTAGTCAGTGTAAACAAGAAAAAAGAAGGAACAAAAAATAAAAAAGAAAAGAGAACATGTTATGTTCTAGGAGTAGATTTATATTCTAGAGTCAGCAAAGACATAAAAGCAACTTCTGGATGAGGAATGTGATTCTTTACATCTCAACACTTTAGCATCTGTCTTGCCAAACCTAAGTCAGTATCAGAACTTTTTCACAAAAATAGGGTTGAACTCTTGTTTTTGAATTTTTTTCCTGGAATTATTCACCAATGATTTATCTTATACGAGGTTTTTGAAAAAAAGATTCACTTCAAGAAAAGTTGCTTTAAATTTGCTCTGGTAGAATAAAGGTGAGTATTTGTATCATACAGATGACAACTATACTGGTAACTTCAAGTTATGCATTTAGCCATAGGCTGATGTCCCTTAAAATAAAAATTGATATACAAGTCACACTTTTTAAGTAAGGCCCTGTGGCACCAGAAGTCCCACAGTGTTCTGGGGGTGGTGTAAATCTGGGCCATAAATGTGGAGCACATACATGCGATATCCACTTTGAATTATGGATTCTGAGAGAAAACCTTTTCATATTTATAGTAAAAAACACATGGTTGTATTATTATGGATCAGAGTCAAAATGCTTTTGCATGTAAAAGATAAATAAGATGCTACTAAAATTTTTATGGCTTGTGGGAGGTTGTGTCAGATTAATAGTGCTAAGATGTAACCTGATCTGAAATATATCATAATTTAAAAAGTGCTTAGAACTGGATGGCATGGCAGATATTGTCAGAAATCAATTGAATATGCTCCCCAAGGAAACAACTATGTGGAGCTCTTCCTGAAAAAAAAGTGGGGTAACCCCTGTAGCCACTCAGCATGGACTCTCAGGGAGGTCTGCACATTCAAAATGTTGTATTCACAGGCACATTTAGTTATGGAATTTTTGAACTTAGGAAAGTTCAAAAAGGATTCAGTTATTTATTTCTATTTATACACATGTATATACTTATTTATTTTTTTAAAAAGTCTGCAACTTTTTAGGTAGGTCTGAGTAATCATCCACCAAAATTTCCTAAAGGAAAAAATTACCACTCAGCTGTTCTGTGGTTTGAGGTACTCACAAAGGGCTTTGTCAGCACACCTGTCACACACAAAAGATATGCCTAATGTCAGCCCCATGGGTACCTGAGGCTAATGGAAACTTATATATTCATTGTTTCAATTGGATGCTGGCAAAGAAGATAATATGAAACCAACAAAGACATATCAGAGTGTGTTCATTTTGTAAAAAAAAAAAAAAAAAAAAAAAAAAAAAACACAACAAAGATTTTCCATGTAATTTCCCTTTTAGGAAGGATCTTTGTATTGTTGAAAAGGAGATACTGAGGGCTGAACCATTTTACACATGCAAGTACAGGCTTCAAAAGTAGTAGTTTTTCCTTTGACTTGTTTTCCCCAGGTTGTGTAAAACATGTGTCCTAAATAACTATGGAGTCATTTCAGAAGCACTCTGACAATTCTTGCTCTCTCTAGGTGGTACCAGTAAAACAGCATAGCAGTGCTTTGAAGTCAGAAAATCTTTTTGGATGTCCCAGGTTGGCTAATGCCAAATGTGTGTCATTGGGCAAGTTCCTTTCTCCAAGTTAGCGTAGCCTCACCTCCCTCATCTGTAAAATGGGGTTAACAATAGTACATACCTTATAGAATTGTTTCAGAGATAAAAAAGAAGAGAATATAGTTAAAGTGATTATGTTATTTTTTAAAGTAGTTAACTTTTAGTTGCATTATTATTGCTGTTATTATTCGTTAAAATTTAGGGTTAGTTTTTAGGTCTGAATGACAAACCTGTCCTCATCATTTTTCTTTTTAATTATACATTGTTGGGCAGTTGGCCCATTCTGCAACCAGATGGTTGTCTGCACCACTTCTTTCTAGAGTGGTCCAGATGAGTGGCACTCACAAAAGATGTGTACATGAACAGGAGGGATTTAAAAAAAAAAATCTATGGATTTTTCACTATTGATCTATGGATGTTTCACTATTTGTAGTTTTCCAAACTACAAATAGTGAAACCTATTTGTAGTTTGGAAAAATTCATAGTTTTATAACAATCTCATGTTTTACAAAACCACTATAATATTAATGGTTGTGTATTTCCTTCATAACCTCAATACTGTTAGACAATCTAATACTTCCCCATAACCTTCATAGTTTGAGTAGCAAGTTGTATAGATCTATCATATATTCAGTACTTCTCAACAGCAAACTGAAAAATGCCTGTGAGAGAACAATACAGTTGCACATACAGCTCGAGAAAGTATTCTAAAAACAACAAAAGACTGGCCTTTCATCACGACATGCACTCTTAGTAAAAGCATTCAATCAATGAGTCAATAATATTTAAGCTGGCAGATGACTTGTTTTTCAACACTGGGACAGTATGTAACAACGAACCAGCAACTGTGTGGATGTTGTTGTGATCCTGCAAACTCAGACATGATTTTACAGAAATGCAAATAGTGGTCACTAATCACGAAGAAAACTGTCTTTATGCCCACAATGTATTACATCTTTTTTTTTTTTTTTTTTTTTTTGTCTCTGTGAAGGCACGTCTTCCTCTTTTCCTCTTCCTGGTCTTTCTTGTTCTCACTCTTCTAGAAAACCTCATCACTTGTGGGCTTTTCATTTCTTCATACCTTTTCTCCTTTCCTTTTAGTCTCAATTATTGCTTGGTAACCCAAGTCATATATTTAAGTTTTCTGAAGATCTAAGAAGGACAGTTGACTAGGAAGGTTGATATTCATGGGTAGATGCATGATTTTGATGCTACAATTCCCTTTTCTTGGAAATGGGATAGCTGTGAATTAATAGAGGCAGTGAATATTATATTTCCTATCCTGTTCTAGGTGGTTACATAGCAGAAGTATGCAGGAAAGAAGATAGTTCAAAAGCCAACAGGAAAAAGGAAAAATATCCAGTTGAAGGATAGCTTACCATATCCCATTTCATCATTATAAAATTGTTAGTGTGATAAAGTAGACAAAAACATCTGCTTTGCAGTAAAGGAAACTGAGTTTGAATTTTATTGCTGATGCTCTCTTGCAGTGTGATCCTGAGCTAGGCTAATTACTTAATCTTTTTGTTTTACAATATGTTAGTTATATAGTAATTGTGCCTAAAACTCTCAGGGGTTACTGTAAATTTTAAAATGTATATAAAATTGCTGGTCATCTAAAAGACAATAAGTAAAAATTTGTTCTTTGACATATTTCTCATTGTCCTGCAAGATGCCCCAGTTGGTTTAATCTTATAGTTGTTTTTCCACGATTTTTGTAGGGAAAGATATTAATTATGCTTTCATTGTAACTTTATTCCCCACATAATTAACCACCAATGTGCTATTGTAGACAAATGTGGAATACTTGAAGCTGTATTTCAGGGGAAGAGTTAAGGAGTTGAGTGCATACAATTGGAATATTCAGTATTATTCCACTGAATCTCAAAACTACAGAAGTGTTTTAGGCTATACAGTCATGTAGGAAAAGGCTTTTAATACCAGAGAGTCAAAGTGTTTGGTTCTTCTAAGAAACATATGTATAATTCAGTCAAAAAAATAAATGATAGAGTTTTGTAAATAGGAAATAAGACATGGGCATCCTTCCTTCTCATTTTCTCTTCTCTCCTCTGCCTGTTTTTCTTTCTCTTTCGCCTGTCATCAAATATTTACTGAGGGTCTGTTTCATGCTTTCTAAGTTGTGCTACTTGTGATGAAGTAGAATACTTGCATACATATCTACACAGATTGCTTTTTATAAAAGGTATAGTTTGTAAAATACTGTTATTTCCAAACAAAAAGAGATCCAATTTTCACTTGACCTTGACTTTAAAAATAAATTTATATCCCAGTATCCCCGTTTACTTTTCTAATGTATAAAGGTTGTAACTGACTGTACACTCAAGGGCATGTTAATATTTTAGAAAGGCTCAAAGTAAATTTTCTGACCAGATGTTGATTTTTATATCTGGGGGAGAAAGATGCTTTGCTAAAAATGACAAATTCTAAAAGCAAGGAAAAATAGCCTCAAGGGGATAGATACTATATTATTAACAGAGGGAATATATTTTATTGATTCATTGTTGACTGTTCCAAGGAGAACATGCTTAATAATGGATGAGTGATTAAGAGGAAGAAATTCTCTCTCAGGCTCTGAGTGTGT